TGCAGTTGTCATTGTTGTTTAGCTAGCCCAGGCCAGGTTTGAACGTGCCAGCCTCAGCTGGTGCCATAACCACCATGCTACGAATGCCAAGCCCCAACATACTACTTCTAAGTGAAATGGTCAGGGCTGGTAAGGACAGAACAACCTTTTAGCCTACTTCAGGTATAGTTAGTTTGGTTTTGTGTCTCAGATCTCACCATCATCTACAACCTAGAAGGGTGAGTTACTTCTAGGTTTACACACAGAACGAACAGCTTGCTTAAGCATTTCCCAGGCTCCATGACATGACTAGAATGAGAACAAAGTACCTTCTTTGGGATGAGGTAGCTGGTGAGAGCCGTGTGGATCTCGTGGGAGAGGCAGAGGGGAGAGAGCAGCTGCCCATCACACTCACTGAGGGAATTCTCCATGAACGTATCGCTCTCATCGCTGCTAGAAAGCTCTTCCCACTCGTCATCGGAGGGATCTGGGAAAAGTGGACACCACACAGAACTGGAATGTGTAGGAAACCCTCCAGGGGTGCTCCCCTTTGAGCCCAGGGGACAAACTTCTGGCTGTGAGCTGGGGACAGACCTTCGCTGCAGCACATGTTCACGATGACTTCCAGCGCGGTCTGCTGAGCCGCCAGCAGGGCTACCGTCTCTCTCAGTTCCTTGTCAGTGGGCTTAAAAGAAAGGCAAACAAACAATTCTCAATGTTTAGAAAAATATTTTTATGTGAATTTCCTTAGTTAATACCTGTAACAAGATTTTTACACTTGGGGCTCAGCGCCTATAGCTCAACGGGCTAAGGCGCCAGCCACGTACACCTAAGGTGGCGGGTTCGAATCCCCAGCCCAGACCCGCCAAACAACAATGATGGCTGCAACCAAAAAATAGCCGGGCGTTGTGGTGGGCGCCTGTGGTCCCAGCTACTTGGGAGGCGGAGGCAGGAGACTCGCTTGAGCCTAGGAGTTGGAGGTTGCTGTGAGCTGTAATGCCATGGCACTCTCTCTACCCAGGGGGATAGCTTGAGGCTCTGTCTCAAAAAAAAAAAAAAAGATTTTTACACTTGGAATAGAGCCCATGGGGAGTGAGGCAGGCAGAAGAAAAGCCGGATGGAGCCAGGAGGACAAATGAGCACTGAGTCCTCCAGGCACAGGGCAGCAGGCCACCCTCCACTGAGCTTCCATCCACCTGCACGGTTATTCTCCAAGTGTTGCTTAGTAAGCTGAAGAAAACAGGTACATATTCAGGAATTCTGAACTGAATTCACCCTAAAACTTAACGGAAAGTATTGAGGGGCCGAGCATGTTAAGATTAAAATAAGAGTTCGTTTCAGACACCAGACACTTACACACACTGAGCCTGCTGAGACTCAGAGGCCTTCTTGGAATGGCTGTATTAACAAACCCTGCTAACACGTCCTTATATAACCAAGAGAGCCTGCTGAGGAACGGACAGGTTTGCTTCCTGGCTTTCTTTGAAGACTAGAATAAAGCACTTTGTTGAGGATGAAGAAATTAGGAGACTTTTTCCTCTGAAAATACATACTATGAACTTCACCAATTAACATTTCTTGGCTTGCCAAACTGCAACAAAAAATAACTGGGAGTTGTGGCAGGCACCTGTAGTCTCAGTTACTCCGGAGGCTGAGGGAAGAGAATCGTCTAAGCCCAACAGCTGGAGGTTGCTGTGAGCTGTGACACCATAGTACTCTACCAAGGGTGAGACAGTGAGACTTTGTCTCTAAAAAAGAAGAGAGCGCGAATGAAAACTGCTAATTTAATTTAATCCCTAAATTTCCTTTTTTTTTTTTTTTTTTTTTTCGGTTTTTGGCCAGGGCTGCGTTTGAACCTACCACCTCCAGCATAGGGAGCCGGCGCCCTACTCCTTTGAGCCACAGGCACCGCTCCTAAATTTCTATTTCATTTATTACTAGCAAGAATTTAAAATCATTTGTTTGCTTTGTGTGTGACAGTTCAACTAAAACACTTATTGGAGAAGATGTAAAGCTAGATAAGAAATGTGCTGGGTTCTTATCCACTTAGCTGGCCCAGGTTGGGCTCAAACCTGCCACCTTTGGTGTATGTGGCTGGTGCCCCACTCACTGAGCAATGGGGTGCACAGCCTACATTATCAATTTTTTAAAGCACTGACAATACTTCCTGAGACTTCACAAACGCAAGAAAGCATGAGGACATGAATCGCATTCCCCAGCTCAGACTTGATCACCTTCTTTCAGCAGCTTCCTGACTGGCCTCCCTGCGGCCAGGCCCCTTAGGTTCACCCTCCATCCAGCCGCCTGAGTGATTTCTCTGAACACCACTAACCTGCATTTGCTTGCCTCATCCTTTAAGACAGCTCCAGTATTCTACACGTCTTCCTTCCAAAAGCCTCCACCTTTGTCCCCCCACCAGGGCTGAGTTCCATGCATCTGGTCTACAGAAACTACCCCCCCCCCAGCAGTCTGCACAGCCCTGGGCCTGTACTTAGCACAGGCTGGATGACCATGGCGTTATGTAAGTGGGTCATCACGAAAAGCTGAGACACCCAAAATCAAGAAATGTAAAATCGGCTCCGCCCCTATAGCTCAACCGGCCAAGGCGCCAGCCACGTACACCTAAGGTGGCGGGTTCGAATCCCCAGCCGGGACCCGCCAAACAACAAGGACGGCTGCAACCAAAAAATAGCCGGGCGTTGTGGCGGGCGCCTGTGGTCCCAGCTACTTGGGAGGCAGAGGCAGGAGACTCGCTTGAGCCCAGGAGTTGGAGGTTGCTGTGAGCTGTAATGCCATGGCACTCTGCCCAGGGGGACAGCTTGAGGCTCTGTCTCAAAAAAAAAAAAGAAATGTAAAATCCATGTGGACAGAAACCAACGAAGCCCTCTCAGCAACTGATGAGCCCAGGAGGCTGAAAGGTGCAGGGGTGAGTCAGAAAAGACGACGCCAGCTGCGTCTCCGGGAGGTGAGGCAATGGACCACACCACCGTCTGCCTCACAACTTTCCACAGTCACCTACATATCTGTCTTCGCAACGCAGGGATTCCTGAAGGCCAGAACCACATCCTGACCATCTTTCTATCACCAGCATCAAGCACACTGCTCGGCACACACAAGGAGAACCGGAAACGTGCACTGTGTGAACAGAGCCTAAATCACTGTCAGCCCTGTCTTTCTGTTTATTACTTTGCTCTCCTCCTTAGGGGAAATGTTCTTCCAAAGTACGGCTCCATCTCTGCTGACTGTCTCAGCCAAAATGATTCCTATACCCCAGAGTTCTCACTCTCACCCCCGCATCACACCACCAGCACAAATATGCCATAATCACCGAATTATGTGAAAACTACAAAACATCATTTAACTCACAATCACCCAGCCTCTTCTGCTCAGTAGATAAATGAAAGTTTGGCTTGCCACCTCGATGTATGGAAACACTAAAGTAAAAGAAATAAGAACGCAAGAGAACACTGGAGCACTAGTGTGACACAGTCTGGAGATGGCACGTAACAGGAGCAGGAGACACGCAGGAGGGAGCTGATCACACACTGCTAGTGTTCTAAAAGGATAAGTTTATCCCATCTTTGAAACTTTTTCCTGTATTTAAAAGTTATCTCAGGTAAGAGATTTTTCCCCCATTGGCAATAGATTTCTGATGTTATGAGTCTATGGGGAAATATGACTCATCTTTACTGAAATTCACTTCTCAGATTATTTTGCCACAAGATTTTTCTTTTCTTTCCTTTTTCTTAGATGGAGCCTACGGCCTACAGTGGGGTCATCATAGTTCACAGCGACCTCCAACTCCTAGGCTCAAGTGATCCTCTTGCCTCAGCTTCCTGAGTAGCTGGGACTTACAGGCACACACCACCATGCCCAGCTAATTTTTCTATTCTTAGTAGAGATGAGGTCTTGCTCTTGCTCAGGATGGTCTCAAATTCCTGCTCAGGTGATCTACCCGCCCCAGGCTCTGGACTCTCAGAGTGCTATGATCACAGGGGTAGGCCACTGCACCCGGCCTGTTACTTTTTTCTCTAAAGCTAAGGATACCTGCTGAAAGAAAAGAGTCGCATTATTCCACATTTAAGAGCATCAGTTTGACTTACTGGAAGTAAATCCGAAACGAAAGTTTTCCTTCTGACTTTTCTTTTATGAGGAATTTCTTCCATCTCATCATCTTCAATCAAACCATCATCATTACCATTCTCTATTATTTCCTCAGTCTCTGTGAGAGTTTTTAACCTTTGAGTTTCAGCCTCCTTCATTTGAATAACCGTTTGACCAGAATCCACTTCCAAAACTTCAGAGAAGATCTTTAGTATGGCATTTATGATTTCGGCCTGACTCTTACATGGAATAACATCCTTTAGATTCCAAATTGTGCCTGAGAAAAAATAAACATAAGGTTAAGAACTGCCTATGAAATCCTAAAGTTTAATTTCCACAAGACTGGAGCTTTTAACTCAGGTGTAATTTCAAAAAATCTCAACTGCACTGCCTTTGTTCAGTTTTTAGTGAATATCACAAAGTATTACACAGAGGCAGCATCCTTTGTGACAACCCTTCCCAATCATCTCCCCTTCTTGGCTGTAATCCTAGCACTCTGGCAGGCCAAGGTGGGTGGATCACCTGTGCTCACGAGTTCTTGAGACCAGCCTGAGCAAGAATGAGACCCTGGCTCTAAAAATAACCAGGTGCTGTGGTAGATGCCTGTAGTCCCAGCTACTTGGGAGGCTGAGGCAGCAGAATGGACCCTAGAGTTTGAGGTTGCTGAGAGCTACGATGCCCCAGCACTCTATCCAGGGTGATAGAGTGAGAGTCTGTCTCAAAAAAAAAAAAGGGACGCGATCTCACAAGGCTGAACTTTACCTGCCACCAATGTTTTCAACAGAAGGTGCTCCATGGAGCTGACAGGAGAGAGCATGGCCGACTCCAGCACACCCAGGGCTGCGGGACTGAAAGACGCCAGCAGCTCTGGGTTCTCTTCAGTCACTGTCTGCAAACACTGTGCTACAACACAAGAAAATACACAGAAATATTTAGAAACAAGTAAGTTCTGCTGAGTGTAATTTACACCCTACAACTCATCAGAAATATGCACTTTTACCACTTCTTTAGACACGTGCAGCTTTTGTGGAATATATACGTTTTACCTCACAAAATGATTTTTTAAAATGAGGTTTCCCCAAGTATCAGTTCTATAAAAGATCTTTTTCTTTTTTATTTTGAGACAAAATTGCACTCTGTTGCCCAGGTTAGAGAGCCATGGCATCAGTCTACCTCACAGCAACCTCAAACTCCTGAGCTTACGCTATCCTCCTGCTTGGGCCTCCCAGTGCTGAGATTACAGCCATCAGCCATCATGGTAGGTGCCTACATCTTGACCCCAACAATTTGAGGTTGCTGTGAACCAGGCTGATGCCACAGCACTGTTCCCAAGGTGACAGAGTGAGACTCTGTCTCAAAAAAGAAAAAAAAAAAAATAGGGTGGCACCTGTGGCACCAGCCCCATATACCAGAGGTGGCGGGTTCAAATCCTGCCTTGGACAAAAACTGCAAAAAAAAAAAAGATAAAGTTTCTAATCCTTTGAAAAACTACACTCTGATAAAATACAATTTAAAAGGCTCTTAAATGTCATGGCAATGTCAAATTACCATAAACATATATTAAGCTTATCCTCAGTTTATGTGCTTATCACAGACTAGGAGCATATAGCCATGGACCACACTTGGGACACAAGTCCTACGTTTTGGAGAACTCAGGCTTCCTTTAAGTTCATCAAGACTGTAAAATTTAGGGTTATTTCTGCTAAAGCAATAGTTCTTTAAGAAATAAAAGTTGGGGCTCGGCGCCTATGGCTCAACCGGCTAGGGCGCCAGCCATGTACACCTAAGGTGGCGGGTTCGAATCCCCAGCCCGGACCCGCCAAACAACAATGATGGCTGCAACCAAAAGATGGCCGGGCGTTGTGGCGGGCGCCTGTGGTCCCAGCTACTTGGGAGGCAGGGGCAGGAGACTCGCTTGAGCCCAGGAGTTGGAGGTTGCTGTGAGCTGTAATGCCACGGCACTCTACCCAGGGGGACAGCTTGAGGCTCTGTCTAAAAAAAAAAAAGAAATAAAAGTTGGATGAATGTATTCATGATCTATGTGTATCTGACTTAATAAAATAAAAATAAATAAATAAATAAATGAATAAAGTAAATTACACACCATTAAAAAAAAAGAAATAAAAGTTGGCTTGGTGCCCATCACACAGTGGTTATGGTGCCAGCCATGTGCAACCAAGGCTGGAGGGTTTGAACATAGCCCGAGCCAGCTAAACAACAATGACAACTGCAACAACAACAAAAAATAGCCGGGCATTGTGGCAGGAGTCTATAGTCCTAGCTACTTGGGAGGCTGAAGCAAGAGAATCACTGCTTAAGCCCAAGAGTTGGAGGTTGCTGTTAGCTGTGATGCCATAGCATTCTACTGAGGGTGACATAGTGAGACTCTGTGTCTAAAAAAAAAGAAATAAAAGTCATTTTACATAAAAATGTGATTAAATTAAGGAACAGAGCCCAGACATGGAGGCTCCTGCCTGTAATCCTAGCACTTTGAGAGGCTGAGGAAAGATGATCACTTCAGGCCAGGAGTTCAAGACCACCCTGGGCAATAGAGTAAGATCCCTTCTCTATAAAACAAAAATTTAAAAATTAGTTGGGCAAGGTGGTATGTGGCTGTAGTCCCAGCTACTCAGGAGGCTCATGCTGGAGAATCTCTTGAACCCAGAAGTTACAGTGGGCTATGATCGCACTCCAATACAAGACTACAGAGTGAAACCTGCCTCTAAAAGAAAAAAGGAGGCAGAAACAGTACAAATAACCCAATGCTGCCATCGCTGTGATCCAGCTGGTTCCAAATCACATTGTATAAAAATTTATTTTCAGTAGAACCTCTGTAAATGGACCAGCCAAGGGACTGTAACAAGCTGGTCAACATATGGAGGTGGTGAACATGGAAGTCATGTCTGGTCTATGGAAACTAGTCAACTGGGCTCAGCACCTGTAGCTCAGCGGCTAAGGTGCCAACCACATACACTGGAGCTGTGCCAACCACATACACTGGAATTCAGCCTGGGCCAGCTACAAGCAATGACAACTACAACCAAAAAATAGCCAGGTGTTGTGGTGGGCACCTGTCCAAGTAGTCCCAGCTACTTGGGAGACTGAGGCAAGAGAATTGCTTGAACCCAGGAGTTAGAGGTTGCTGTGAGCTGATGCCATAGCACTCTACCCAGGGAGACAGCCTGAGCCTCTGTCTCAAAAAAAGAAAAAAGAAAATTAGGTCAACTTAAGAAGGTGGTCGATGGAAGGAGGTGGCACACTATTAAGGTTCTACTGCATATGCATATATGTACATGTACAAACACCTAAATGTAATTTTTAAAATTAAGATATAATTAATTAAATTTACTGTAGCAAAAAACCCAGGATAAGCTGTACCATAAAGACAATGCAAGCTCAAGGAAAGTTACATTAACACATGGGCTGGAATCTTGCAAGTTCACTTTACTTTTTTTTTTTCTGAGACAGAGTTTCACTGTCTCACCCTCAGTAGAGTGCTGTGGCGTTGCAGCTCACAGCAACTTCAAACTCTTGGGCTTAAGTGATTTTCTTGCCTTAGCCTCCCAAGTGGCTGGGACTACAGGCCCCTGCCACAACACCCGGCCTTTTTTCTTGTTGTAATTGTCATTGTTGTTTGGCAGGCCTGAGCTGGATTTGAACCCGCCAGCCTCAGTGTATGTGGCTGGTGACCTAACTGCTGAGCTGTAGTCACTGAGCCAGTTTGCTTTACTTTTTGAGAATTAAAAAAAGATTTTGTAGAGACGGGGTCTCATCATGTTGCCCAGGCTAGTCTTGAACTCCTGACCTCAAGCAATCCTCCTGTTTTGGCCTCCTGAAGGGGTGTGATTACAGGTGTGAGCCACTGGGCCAGCCAAGTTCCATTTACTGTCTATAAACCTTGCTTGAGTTTTGAAACAACAGTAACGTGTTTAAAATATCACAAAACTAAATGCAGAAAGAACACATCATTATACAGTGAAAAATGACTTTATTCTGATCCATTTCAAAAAATTCATGGGGGGAAACTAAAAAAAAAATCCCCTAAATCTATAGGAACAAAGGCACAAAAATAGAAGCAAACATTTTCTTTTAAAAGGTATGAATCAACTTGCCTAAAATTATCTTATTGTAATAAAAACTGTCCTGAGATTAAAAGTTACCTACTAATTTCCTAAAAACAGCTGAACTGCTTATAAAATCCCCATTTATAACCCTCTATCCCTCATCAAGATTCCATTTTGAGAAACTGATTTTTAAGATTTTCCCAACAGTATTTATTCCCTCTTCTTTGTTTCTAAAAGTACCCATCAGACCCCAGAGAAACGGCATTAAGGGGAATATGTTTCTTTCTTACTAGGAGAGAGGCACAGTTAAATGAAAGCACAGCTGGATGCCTGCCATGATGAAGGGTAGAAAAGAAATGCTTTTCATCAGTTATTTCTCCACTCTCTTCCAGAATTCTGTTGAGCTGCCCCCCCTCTGGTTTCTGCCTCCTCTCCCTGATGAGCTCAGCGTCCCCAATAACTCAATAAGCCAATAAAGAGAGGGCAGGGAGCCCAGGCTGTTGACGCTGCTAGATTTTGCCTCCCCTGGCCCCCGTCTCATGAAGGGACAAGGGCCTAAGTGAAATTTCAGTCACTTCTTTCCCTCTCTTTCTTTCAAAAAACAAACAAACAAACAAAAAACCAAAATGCAGGCTACCAGTTGCTGCTTCCATAAACTTTAATGGAAGTTATGAGACAAAAGCCCAAGTACAGATTCCAATTCACTTCCGTATACAGGTCTGGCAGGGATAGGCTACTGTTCGTTAGTGGGGATGGAGATGAAAACTTGCTTAATAAAGGCTTCTAAGAACGGTAACAGACTAGAAACCAAGTATGCTCACATAATTACCTTTCACTCTTTCAGAGTGAAAAGCAGGAAAACTGTATAAAGTATTAATCAGAGACTTGAAAAGATTTCAGAACAAACAGAACTCTTCTGCTACACATTTATATACAACAAGAAAAGAAAATAACTCCTGTAGAATAAGCATGCTATGTCTGAATAAAGATTTTTGAATAAGGCTACACACACTTAATAAGCCATCACCTTGTCTTCACTTACCTACTGAAATAGCCAGGTCAACATTGGTGGAAAACCTACTTAAATACTTTAATACCATCTCCAAACACCCTTCTTTGTTGAATATAGACACTGCTCTACTACTGCATTCACTAAATTGAAGGGGGAAAAAGAAGTTTTACTATTCACATTTTAACATTAAGAAATCAACCATAAAAATCCATTTAAAAACAAATTAGGCTTGATTAACCAGAGAGTTGGAGTCAAACACACATCATTCTTATAGATGAAGAAACTAATGTCCATTCATATTCACTGCAGGTGAGAAGAACTGGCTGGCTGTATTTTATTTCCATCACGGTGGGACCTGCTGGCCAATCTCTTTACCAGTTTTCATTAAAGAAGGTTAGAGCTGGAAGAGACCTTACAAATCATTCAATTCAACTCCCGATTTACAGATGAGAAGCAGCAGGCCCCACACAGTGAGGTGACCTATATGAAGATCACACATTCTGTCAGTGACAGAGCTGGGCTCAGTACCTAGGATCCGTGGGTCCAGCCTATGGTTCTTTCTTAGGAAAGAATAATAATAAAATTGAGAATAAAAGGCCTTTATATTTATCACACAAAAATCACAAATTTAAAAGAAAAGAAAATCATATTTTATTCATTCCTTTTAGACCTTGATTATGATCTCATCAAGCAAAATTTGCAATCTGCAACAGACAAATTACTATAATTATGAAGATTCAGAAAGCTATCAACATTATAAGTAAAAGCGTATACACTAAATACAGTATAAATAAAGCTAATTATAATAATCTTATCCAGGTTTCCAGAGAAAGCTCTATATAACATATACACATGAATACTACTAAGAGAGCTGGCTAATGATTTAAATTTAATCTATTATGTAAGGAAAAATATTTTCTGTCTGCAATCTATTTATATATCTAGTTATTGCAGTATTGAAGGATCCCCTAGTACCGTGAGGACGATAAGATATACATGTGTAAAGATAATTTAAAATGTAAACTATGAAACAAAAATATTAAGAGCTTATACTATAAATGACCAAGATAACCACAAATGACACAGGCATTCAGAAAAAAGAAACCACTTTGAGATCTATTTAGACTCTTTTCAGAGGAAAAAGTTTGTAGTTTTCTTTTCTTTTTTTTTTTAGAGACAGAGCCTCACTTTGTCACTTGGTAGAGTGCTGTGGCGTCACAGGTCACAGCAACCTCCAACTCCTGGGCTTAGGCGATTCTCTTGACTCAGCCTTCCAAGTAGCTGGGACCACAGGTGCCCACCACAATGCCCAGGTATTTCTTTGCTGCAGGCTGGCCAGGGCTGGTTTTGAACCTGCCAACCTCAGTATATGGGGCCAGCGCCCTACTCACTGAGCCACAGGCGCCGCCCACAAAATGGTTTTTTTTTTTTTTTCCAGTTTTTGGCCAGGGCTGGGTTTGAACCCGCCACCTCTGACATATGGGGCTGGCACCTCACTCACTGAGCCACAGGCACCACCTTGAAAAAGATTAAAAAACAAAACAAAACTCACTTTGTTGTCCTGAGTAGAGTGCCATGGCATCATAGTTCACAGCAACCTCAAACTTGTGGGCTGAAGCAATTCTCTTGCCTCAGCCACCTGAGTAGCTGGGACTACAGGCACCTGCTGCAATGCCTGGCTAGTTTTTCTACTTTATTAAAGATGGGGTCTCACTCTTGCTCAGGCTGGTCTTGAACTCCTGAGCTGAAGAAATTCTCCTGTCTCAGTCTCTCAGAGTGCTAGGATTAGGGGCCTGAGGCAGAGTGCCCGGCCTGAGAAATAAGATTTTTCAAAAATTTCCAAATTCAACACTTTACATAAGTTAATGATGTGATGCACAGTTTGTAAAGGGCCGTTTCCTTAAATCTGATCTCTCCACTGTTTCTGGTTTAAAGTGCAATCACAGGGAAGTTCAAAGTGCTTTGTGGGCAGCTATTCTTTTTTTTTGGTAGTTTTTGGCCTGGGTCTGGGTTTGAACCCACCACTTCTAGCATATGGGGCCGGTGCTTTACTCCTTTGGCCACAGGCCCACCCTTGGGCAGCTATTCTTGATCCAACTTTTTCTTTTTTTTTTTTTTTTTTTTTTTTGGCGGGGGCTAGGTTTGAACCTTTGAACCCACTACCTCCAGCATATGGCGCTGGCGCCCTACTCCTTTGAGCCACAGGTGCTGCCCCTATTTTTTTTTTTTTTTTGAGACAGAGTCTCACTTTGTCATTCTTGACAGAGTGCCATGGTGTGGCATCATAGGACACAGCAATTTCAGACTCTTGGGCTCAAGTGATTCTCTTGCCTCAGCCTCCTGAGTAGCTGGGATTATAGGCACCTGCCACAACATCCAGCTATTATTATTATTATTTTTTAGAGATGGGGTCTCACTTTGGCTCAAACTGGTGTCAAACTCCTGAGCTCAAGCAGTCTACCTGCCTTGGCCTCCTGGAGTGCTAGGACCACACAGGTATGAGCCACTATGCCCGGCCACAGCTTGATCTTATAGTCTAAGAAACACCTGTGCTTTGGGTCAGCTATTATAATCACTGATGACGGAAAATAAGGAGCTCTGACAGAATAGTGCTAGAAATGGGGGGCAGAAAATGTGGCAGAAAAAAGTAAATCCAGGTTGTGTTTCTAGACATTTTCCTTCCCAGCAATAAGTCAACCCTGCCCCACCACTGCTACAGTCAGACGCGGGGAGAGGGGCCTTCCTCCACGCAAATGACAACTGCCAAGGAAGAGCAGAAACGCAGTGCTCGGCTGCTTAAAGACATCTCTGTGTTCCCTTCTCATTCCAGGAGCCACAACAAAGCAGCTCCTAAATCAGGGCCTAACTTGGTTGAAAGACAAATGCCGCTTAGGGCAAGCAGCTAGCTGGGGGATAAGGTACTAACGCTCATGATTCCTCTTATTTTTGTTAGCAGCAGTGACTGGAGAGATGAGATGTAAACCAAAAAAACCAAAAGATGTAAAAATCTTATGAGGACCAGGAATGAGGGTTGATCTTAGGTCACCGCCTACTACCTTCTACCAAGTATTAACGTCACGGATTCACAGGCCTACCTGGGGGAACAGAGATTCCCACACAGTCTAACAGAAGGAGCAGCAGCCCGAGCAGTGCTGTAGAGGGAGGCAGAGTCTGGAAAGCATCTTACCATATATTCCATAGCACGTTCACAGCCTCGTTGGCTATGTTCTCAATACAACTTCTGTTCTGATCTTTTTTGCCCTGTGGAGACATCCCACTTGAATCCAGTCCAGCACCACACTGTAACCAAATATCACAATTAGCACCCTGGCTCAAAAGAATGACTGAACAAAATGATAATGACAGTGACAAATCACAAAAACTAAACATCAGAAATTATACTGGCTAACAAACCAATCAAATTCTCATAAGCAGTACAATTCCCACACCCTGCTTTCCTACTGGCAAGAAATACAGACATGAACGGTCCTCAAGTTGTTGAGAAAACTGGATATGAAGCATTTCACATTTTAAATCAACATACAAAATCAATACAAATTATCTTACCTAATGTAATAAAAGACAGTAAAAAAGGCAAAGAAAGATAACATAAAATAAAAGCTAACATCTAGAAGCGCCCCTAAGGCACTGTTCTCAGCACTTCACGTATGGTACCAACTCATTTAATCTCCACAACAAACAGACGAGGTACATGACGCTTATCCCCAATGTGCAGCTACAAATTGAAAACTGAGGCACAGGGAAGCTGCTGAACGTACAGCTTAGTATGTGGTGAAGCAGGGATTCAGATCCAGGCATTCTGGCTCCAAAGGTGGTACTCTGAAGCTCCTCTAGCACAGGCCAGGGCACCCTCGAAGGCAGGGCTCCTCAATCTAGGCACTAGTGAACTGTGGACCAGATAATTCTTTGTATGTGCACTGTGGGATATCTAAGCAAGCAGCCAGGCAGCATCCTTCGCTTCTACCCACTGGATGCCAGTGGCAACCCTCAACCTCCCCACGCTCTGCAACAACCAAAGATGTCTCCAGATACTGCCAAACATCCTCTGTGGGGCAAACTCACACCCAGTTGAGAACCACTGCTCTCAAGGGAATAGGACTGATCCCTTCCATCAAAACTGGCTATCCTTTATAGTTCTAAGTGACAAGTACCCATCAGTACAGAAGAGTGGACCAGAAACACATCGGAGAGCTCCATAAACCCTGCAGTCAATCACGCAGTAAGACTGACATATTAAGTATGAGAACTTAATGCAGTCTTCATAACAAGTTTCTTATGTCTGTGTCCCAGCTCCATCATTTTTGAAATGGCCTCACGGAATACTGTATCAAATTAGATATACAAAGCTTAAAAACAGTACCTGACACGTAAATAAGCAATCAGTGTGTACTAACTATTTTCACTGTAAGAAGCTTAAAATCTAAAGGAGTCTGTATAGTTCTTAGGAAAGTTCTTTTCCAATTAATTATCATATAAATAAAGGTTGTGGATACAAAATAGAGATTAGTGGATACTAAATGAGAAATCAGTGTTTCCAGAAAAAGAAATTCTCAGGGAATGTTTCAAGAGAAGACAAAGTAACTAACACTAAGGCACTAAAAAAAGCATTCTAAAAGCTAGGCTTGGAGCTGCTCTTAGGAAACTGCGAAACCGCATACCTCTTTCAGCAGTGCGACCAGCGGGGTCATGATGTCCTTAGCCACCATGTCATCACAAACTTCAAAGCCTCCACAAGCACTGAGATTTCTACACAAGAAGATTAAAACACATTTTACTTAAATCTCACAAAGCACTATTAAATTCTCAAATTTTTTTCTATTTAACCATGCTTAAGGCTTCCCAGAGGAAATCGTTTCTTATTTCTGTCATATCCTGGAGAAGATGACCACAAGGTTGCTACCTGTTCTGTTCCTTGTTCTACAAGGTGTTAAGATGACCATCAGGTAACAAGGTAGTTCTGAGGTCTGAGACAGTCAGTACAGGTGCATGGACCCAAAGGGAGAAGGCGTTCCCCTTTTAATATGAATAAATCACATCACGTACAGTATGAAAGGACCTTTTCTTGGAATCAAGATGGCAAAGGCAGCAAGGTGAGACTACTGAGAATAACCCCCTAACTAAATTTACTTTTCTTTTTTTCAGAGTCTCACTTTCTCACTGTTGTAGAGTGCCGTGGCATCATAGCCCACAGCAACCTCAAACTCCTGGGCTTAAGCAATTCTTTCGTCTCAGCCTCCCAAGCAGCTGGGACTACAGGCGCCCACCACAGCACTTGCCTATTTTTGGAGACTAGGTCTCTCTCTGGCTCAGGCTAGTCTTGAACCTATGAGTTCAGGCAATCCACCCACCTCAGCCTCCCAAGTGCTAGAATACAGGCGTGACCACTAACTTTGCTTTTTTTGAAAAGACATTATTTGCCTTGAATACAAAGCACTGTGCTGGGCTCTAAACATACAGGAGAGAAGTGAGAAGATGCCCCCCCAACCTTCCTATCTGTGTATGTTTTGGGGGAAGGGTAGAACTCTCTACATAGTGTTTCCTCCTCAGCAGATGGCTGTCTACCCCTCTTCCACCAAGATAATTCCCATTCAAACCTAAGATCCCACTTTTTTTTTTTTGAGACAGAGTCTTACTTTGCCGCCCGTGGTAGAGTGCCCTGGCCTCATAGTTCACGGTAACCCCTAACTCTTGGGCTCAAGTGATCCTCCTGCCTCAGGCTCCCAAGCAGCTGGGACTACAGGTGCCCACCACAACACCCATCTATTTTTAGAGACAGGTTTCACTCTTACTTCTGAGTTCAGGTGATCCGCCTGCCTCAGCCTCCCAGAGTGCTAAGATTGCAGGCGTGAGCCACGGCAACCGGCCTTAAGATGTCACTTCAAACACCACTCACTCAGGGTTTCCTTCCTTGAATACCCATTTATAACCTTTCCTGGTATCCTCTGTAACCACCACTGATTGTAACTATACACTTAAGTGATTATTTGGTTAATGCTTATGTCTCTACATAGACTCTAAGATTCATTAAGGACAGAAATTCTGTCTTGCTCACTATCCCCTGCCCACAGCCTAGCCCGGTGCCTGCCACACAGTAGGCACTCCATATATATTTACTACATCAGTGAGTTAAACATTAGATAAACCAGTTACAAGAACTAAAAATATTAACCTCTGCTCTTGCCCCCTCTACAGTCCAGTCTCTGCACAGCCACCAGAGCAGCCTCTTCACTGTCCTGCTCAGCTAAGTCCTTCAGTCCTACACTGTCCTCCAGCTTGTCCACCTCTCCAGCCAGAGCGCCTCCTCTTGGTCCCCATTCCTACCCTCCTTGGCCACAGCCAGCCGCGCTGCCTCACTTCCTCACTGTTGCTGTTCCTCTGCGGGGAATGCTCTTCCCTCTATTTTCTCATGCCCAGTTGGCTTTATCCTTCAGGTTCACAAATATCAGCTATCCAGCACCCAATTTAAACTTGCACAAACATCAGCTATCCAGCACCCAATTTAAATTTGCCATCACCGAATCATCACCATCTTTTTTTTGACCATAGCAATTCTCACCATCTAATACTATGTTTTATCCTTTTTATTACTAGCTTCTGTCTCTATCAGCACAGCTTCTACCAAGACAGTGACCTTGGCGGTCTTGCTCTAAATCCCCTGCGCCTAGAGCCTTCCTAGCACAGGGAATGGAAGAGGTGCTCGCTCTAACTAGGGGACTCTATGGAGGGTTCTTGGAGAGGGTGCGCCAGGAGTGAGGGCAGAACGCCTTGGCAGGTGGCTGCTGCAAGTGAAAGGTGAAGCAGCCTGGTGGACAGATGGAATGCGAATGGTCCGAGGGTGCTGGGGTCCTCTGGAGCCCGGCGATGGAGATTCCTCTCTGCAAGGGGGGACTCAGGGCAGATTATTCGTCCTCTCAGCTACCGCAGACAAGCACAATGAGGAGACGAGAAATCGCGACAGTGCCTGGCAAACGGAAAGCGCTGACTGCCGCGGTGGGCGCTGCCCTGGGCCCCCCCCCCCAATCCCTGGCTCACCTCAGGGCGCCGGCTGCGGTCTCCCTGACGGCCAGGCTGGGGTCGAGCAGCAGCGGCCCGAGCCGGCGCACGGCGTCGCGGCGCGCCAGGTCCGGGAGCACCGGCCTCTGTTGCACCAGCCGGGCCAGCCCCGCGCAGGCGCACTCGCGGACCTCGGCGCTCGGGTGCTGGAGCTGCGGACCAGAGCGAGGTGTCAGAGGGCGCGGGCTGCGCACGCGCGCCGGGGAAACTGGGGCAAGGGGGCGCGCCGCGGCCGCGGGGGTGGAGGGACCCGCCAACCTCAGTCCGCCCCGGGCCCGCTCCCTGAAACCCAGCGGACCCCTCCCTCGCCTTTTCAAGCAGCTCCGCCGCCGGCCCGTCGTCCTCCTCGCCTCCAGTTCCATTCTCCGCCGCAGCAGCCTCGACCTGACATTCGCCCGTAGGGGAGAACTGAGGTCGCTTGAAGCGCTTCGTCCGGCTTTTACCCATGGCGACGTGCGCTGTGGGGCAGAAGGAAAGAGGAGGGCAACAGCAGGCGGTGAAAGCTGCTGAGTTGGTGACAGAGCCTTATCGTCAAGGGGGCTTCTTTCAACTGCTTAGCCGGGCCGGTAGACGGCCGGAGCACACATGGGAAAGCAGTGCGCAGGCGCACGGCGCGCCGGCGACGAGGAAAGACAGACGCCGGGGAGTGCGCAGGCGTGGAAGGAGGCGTGGGCGGGGCCAGCCCTGGCAGAGGGGCGGAGTCAGGGGCGTCTTCCGGGAAAAAGGAGGCTAGCTGGAACTGCGGCTGCCACTGTGCAGTCGCCGGCCCGGTGACTTTTAAGTTACTGCCAAACCTTTACTTCCATAGTAATCAATTGCTATAAAGATTCTAACTCGCAAGGTTATTATAAATAAAATTATGTAAAGCGCTAACACCAAGTCTCATGTGTGCTCAAAAAACATTAACAATTTTATGTTGTGTTCCCGTCACCAAGCACCGCTCCTGTCACAGGACCCAGCTAATGTTTTAGAATGAATGTACCTCTATATTCGACAACACACAATCTCTTCGTGCCTCGGTTTCCTGATCAGTGAAGTGGGCACAGCAATAGTATATACCTAATGCAGTTGTTATGAAGACTAAACGTGTTAATATGTTAAAGGCGCTAAGAACAGAGACTGGGACTGGAGAGATGGCTCACAGTGGTGAACCCAGCACTCTGGGAAGCCAAGGCAGGAGGATCAGGAATTTGAGACCAGCCTGACCAAGAGTGAGACCATCCCCCTACCCCCGTTTCTACTAAAAATAGAACTAACTGGGGTGCCTGCAGTCCAGCTATTCAGGAGCCTGAAGCAGGAGGATCGCTTGAGCTAGAGAGTTTCAGGTTTCTGTGAGCTAAGATCATGCCACAGTATTCTAGCCAGGTGACAGAGATCTGTCTCAAAATAAATACATACATACAGAGACTGTTGCACAATAAGTACTATATAACTGTTTGTTTGAAACTTTATTTTGTAACTGCATTTTTGAGACAAGGTCGTCCAAGCTGGAGTCCAGGTGGCTCCTTCATAGCTCACTGCAGCCTCCAACTCCTGGGCTCAATTAATCCTCCTGTCTCAGCCTCCCAAAGAGCCGGTGCTCTACAGATGCTCTCACCATACATGGCTACTTAAAATTTTTTTTTGTAGAGACCTGGTCTGGCTGTATTTTTCAGGCTAGTCTCAAACTCCTGGGCTCAAGGAATCTTCCCAATAGCTGGGATTACAGGAGTAAGTCAGCATACCCTGGCTGGATGACTAATTACAATCATGATAAGTCCTAAGAAGTAAGGAAAAGTACAAGAGAATCTTAGTTTTTGTAATTAGACATGTATTACGTGAGTGCCTAATATAGCCATAGCTTTCAGGGCAACTTTATGTGGGAAAAAAAAGTTCCAAGGCAACTTTACCCTCAAGGACTTGACTGTCTAGTAAGGGACATAACATTAATTACCATTAGCAAATTTTAGAAAATCATCACAGAGGTGTAGCATAAGTCGTACAGAAGCTCAGGCCTATCAAAGGCCAACTTTTAGGTACGAGAATTATTAGAGCCACCAAATATCTGAATATATGTTGGTAAGTTTTACTTCCTAGATCTCTCTTATCTGGCCACTGGGGCTTCTAGGCTATTTACTGTCTTCTTTTGTCTTGACCACACAGTATTCTGGTCAGTGGGTTCGATTCTGCCCAACCCCCATTCATACAGCAGCTAGAGTGAGAGTGATCTTTCAAAATATTCTTTGAGGAAAGGCCCAGTGGCTCATGCCAGAACCTCTCATTGTTATGGTGCATTGGTCAGGAAAGGAGGCAGTTAGACTCATGCTTGTAAAACTAGCCTATGGGAGGCCAAGCTGAGTGGATTGCTGGAGCTTGGAGTTCAAGACCAGCCTAAGCAAGATTAAGACTCCATTTATACCAAAAATAGAAAAACTAGCCAGGTGTTGGGCACCTGTAGTCCCAACTACTTGGGAGGCTGAGGCAAAAAGATTTCTTGAGTCCATGAGGTTGTTTTTTTTTTTTTTTTGGCTTG